GAGTGGGGTGCTGCTGAAAAGATACCCAAAAATGTGGAAGTGACTTTAGAACTGAGTAACAGGCAAAAGTTGGAACAGTTTGGAGAGCTCAGAAGAAGACAGTAAAATGTAGGAAAAACTCCCTAGAAACTTGTTGAATGGCTTTGATCAAAATGTTGGTAATGATACAGACAATGAAATTCTGGCTGAGGTGGTCTCAGATGGAGATGAGGAACTTGTTGGAAACTGAGCAAAGGTGACTCTTGTTATGTTTTAGCAAAAAGACTGGCAGCATTTTGCCCCTGCTCTAGAGATTTGTGAAACTTTGAACTTGAGAGAGATGATTTAAGGTATATGGTGGAAGAAATTTTTAAGCAGCAAGGCATTCAAGAGGTGACTTGGGTGCATTCAGTTTTATAAGGGAAGGAGAAAATAAAACTTCAGAAAATGTGCAGGCTGTCCATGCAAAGAAAATAAAATCCCATTTTCTAAAGAGAGATTCAAATGGACTGCAGAAATTTCTGTAAGTAATGAGGAGCCTGATGTTAATCACCAAGACAATGAAAAAAATTTCTCCAGGGAATGTCAGAGACCTTTGCAGCAGTCCCTCCCACCACAAGCCCAGAGGTTTAGAAGGAAAAAATGGTTTTGTGGGCTGGGTCCATGGTCCCCCTGCTATGTACAGTCTAGGGACTTGGTGCCCTGCTTCCCAGCCACTCAAGTTCTAACTAAAAGAGGCCATGATACAACTCAGCCTGTTGATTCAGAAGGTGCAAGCCTCAAGCCTTGGCAGCCTCCACATGGTGTTGAGTTTGCAGGTGCACAGAAGTCAAGAATTGAGGTTTGGGAACCTTCACCTAGATTGCAGAAGATGTATGGAAATGCCTGGATGTCCAGGCAGAAGTTTGCTCTAGGGGCAAGGCCCTCATGGAGAACCTCTGCTAGAGCAGTGCAGAAGGGAATGTGGGGGTCAAACAGAGTCCCTACTGCAGCACCATCTACTGGAGCTGTGAGAAGAGGGGCACCATCCTCCAGACCCCAGAATGGTGTATCTACTGAGAGCTTGCACTATGCACCTGGAAAAGCCACAGACAATGCCAGCTTGTAAAGGCAGCTGGGAGGACAACTGTACCCTGCAAAGCCACAGGGGCAGAGCTATCTGAGACCATGGGAACCCACTTCTTGCATCAGCATGACCCAGATGAGAGAAATGGAGTCAAAGGAAATCATTTTGGAGCTTTAAGATTTGATTGACTCACTGGATTTCAGACTTGCATGGGGCCTGTAGCCCCTTCGTTTTGGCCCATTTTGAATGGCTGTATTTACCAAATGCCTGTACCACACTGTATCTAGGAAGTAATTAACTTGCTTTTGGTTTTACAGGCTTATAGGCAGAAGGGACTTGCCTTGTCTCAGATGAGATGTTGGACTGTGGACTTTTGAGTTAATGCTGAAATGAGTTATGACTTTGGGGTACTGTTAGAAAGGCATGATTGGTTTTGAAATGTGAGGACATTAGATTTTGGAGGGCTGTGTCCCCACCTAAATCTTATCTTGAATTCCCATGTGTTGTAGGAGAGACCTGGTGAGAGGTAACTGAATCATGGGGACAAGTCTTTCCCATGCTGTTCTTGTGATAGTAAGTCTCATGAGATCTGATGGTTTTATAAAGAGGAGCTCCCCTGCACAAGCTCTCTCTCTTTTCCTACTGCCATCCATTTAAGATGTGACTGATCTTCCTTGCCTTCCACCATGATTGTGAGGCTTCCCCAGCCATGTGGAACTATAAGTCCAATTAAAACTCTTTCTTTTGTAAGCTGGCCGGTCTCAGGTATGTCTTTATCAGCAGTGTGAAAACGGACTAATACACTGGGTTACTGCTTTTAATCTCAACAAGTATAAGAACACAGAGTAACAACTAATCTCAAGGCATTCACTGACCCAGATTGTTACAGACATATAAAAAGCTGGAGTTTTAAAACCATTTGATTAGTGCTGTTCATAGTTAGTTATGACAGACACAAATGTTGTATGCATCTCCGTTTTTTTCTTCTGCCACTCTCACTGTCTGACAGTAGCCAAACCAACTTACTGCAGAAGTCACAGTGATCTGTTACATCTTAAAGTGAAAGGGGTAGGAGGGTTGGAAACTCATCTTCCTCTCCCTAATATAATGTCAAAATCATCCAAAATTACTTATTGGCTCACTGTCATGGGGATATTTAAAATGCTACTTTGGTAGATTCCCAAAGTATTACATCACCTTTTGAATTGACAATAGATTAGCAGAATAAAAGGTAAGTACAGAGTAGAAGTGAAAGTCCTAAGTAGTTAATGTTTTGAGCTGTATTCTTTACCTAGGAAACCTTATACATTCCCCTGATTTAACTACCACCTATATGCTGATCATACCCAAATCTATCAATCAATGTAGACCTTTCCTCTTAAGCTCCAGATTTATCATTCCAACTACTCAGTGAATGTCTTTACCTGAATTTCCCTTAGGCAACTCAAACTAAATGGGCCTAAATTTGAACTTACTACCTTTTCCCAAACCCTGCTGTTTCTTCCTTCCCCATTAGCATCTACCTTCTCACCCAAACCAGAAACCTAAAAGCCATCTTTGACTTTTCCTTCAACTTTACTCCTAAATCTAATCAATCACAAGTGCTAACACTTTCCTCAGTTCTCTATAACCCACTGGTATTGCCAGGATCCGAACATCACTTGCCTGGACTATGACAGTGACCCTCTAACTGATCTCTCTCCACCAGTCTTGGCCCCTTTAAATCTATTCTCTATACTTCTGCCTGGATGATCTTTCTCAAATTTAAATCTAACTGGGTCTCTTAAAACTCTTCTTGGCTCTCCACTGCTTATAGTCAGCATGATGTGTAAAGCCCTTCAGGAGATTCAGCAGGCAGTCTACCTTCCTGGTTTTCTCTCTCTTCCCTTCTGCCTTGTTATTCCATTGCACTGTACATTCCAGCATTCATTAATTACTTGTAATTATAGAGATGCATCAAGTAGATTTTTGCATCCACACCTTTGCATGTCCCATGTCCTACAATTATCTATATCTTCATCTCTATTTCTTCTGCCCCATGACTGCCTGCTGAACTCCTTCCTCCTCTATATCATCTAAAATCCTACTTGTAGGTCATCTCCCCCAATTCTAGACAAATTTAATCACCTCCTTTTCTGTATTGCTTCCTCTATCATAATACTTATCTTTTCCTATAACACTATGCATGTATGTAAAATATAGAAGTAGCATATCAAAACCCTTATACCTTATTATAAATACTTATTTATACTTCTGTCTCCCCTGGATTGTCACTCATTAAGGGCAGAGACCATCTGATATTCAATTTTATAAGCCTGATGCCTACTATAGCATCTGGCACACTTACACTCAATAAGTAGTGGCTGTTCTTAAAGATGATTCTAAAATTTATTCAACTACCTCCCCCAAAAATTGAGAGCCACTACACTCAAATTTGTGATTTATCCTGCAAAAATCACATAAACTGATAATATCAACATAAGTATATCTTTGTCTTATAATCAGTCTAAAATTGGGATGGTTGAAATATTCTTTTTCTTTTTAAGTCTTGTTTTGGTATTTTTAGAAATCCAAAGGTCTTCATTCAGAAGAAATTTCAAAAACTATTTGTACAGCTCAAAATACCACAATTTCTGATACTATTAGATCCTTTCTTTGGGGAGGTTATATAGAAAGGCTATAACTGGCCAGTGGCATTGCTATAAGAGCTGTGACACACACACACACACACACACACACACACACACATTTATATATATGTCCTATTTACTCCCTCAAGGAGATAGGAATAAGATCTGTGTCTTTTGTATTTCTTTATTTTCCTGCACCATTCTTCATACACTGTATGCTCAACAGATAAGCAATCCCATCTTTAATAATAATGGTGAAGCTGACAGTGAGTCTGTAATAGTGGACAGAATACTAGACAGGACTAGTACCTCTGACAAGCTGTGATGAAATGTAAAAAAGAAAAGTCCCTCTCCACAGCCAGGCACTGTGGCTCACACCTGTAATCCCAGCCCTTTGGTGGGGCCGAGGCAGGTGGATCACCTGAGCTCAGGAGTTCAAGACCAGCCTGGCCAACATCGTGAAACCCTGTCTCTACTAAAAAATACAAAAAAAAAAAAAAAAATCCAGGTGTGGTGGTGTACTCCTGTAATCCTAGCTATTTGGGAGGCCGAGGCAGAATTGCTTGAACCCATGAGGCAAAGGATGCAGTGACCCAAGATAGCGCCACTGCACTCCAGCCTGCACGATGGAGTGAGACTCCATCTCATTTAAAAAAAAAAGTCCCTCTCTTGACATATCTATATATGAGAAGTAACGTGAGGAGGAAATAACAATTTTCAGGATCTATTATGTGTCAAATGCTGATCTGGATGCTTGTTGTGTTGTATCTAAATTATAAAATCCCAATGAGATAGGATCATTATTGTTTCCATTTTACAGGTAAGGGAACTAACTCAGAATAATTTGCCTAAGAACACACATCTCATAAGTGGCAGAGTCAGCATCTGTACCAGGTGAAAAGTCTACATTCTCAACTAATGTTCTACACTGCAAGTGTTTTGTATGTCACATTCTAAAGAAGAAATTTAAAAACTGATAACCAAAATTTTATACATCTATTCCCACTGATCTTCAATTACACAATAGAAGGAAAACTTTTAAAAATTATAGTTTAATAGTTTTGCAGAGCAAAAGCAGTGATTTCGAGTTCATGACTGTCCCCAGCCCAATCCAGTCTCTACTTTATATGAGCTATTTTCTTACTTTACTTACTCCTTAGAACAGCAGTTCTTGCATCTGTGAAATAGATACTCACCATTTTACAGTGTGACTATGAAGATGATACATGTAAAATACTTTATAAAGATTTGATAAACACCAATGCTTGTAAATTAACTGCAATAAAACCTAACAAAAAACCTGTGAAAACAGAAAGTATGCTTACAGAAGCCAGTAATCTTCCATCTTCCTTCATGGCAAGGTAGCGGTTAGCACACACTCCTTTGATAGACACAACTCCTCTCTCTTCTGCTTGAAGTTGCAGTTTGACTGTAACAGGAAAAAATTATTTTTGTAGCACCACAAAGGAAAAAGTCTTCTCTATAACATTTATACAATATGAAGACAAAACACGCCTGAGCAACAACTAATCCACTTTGGAGGATTGGTGAGGTTGGGAGTATAGGCAACAGGGAGCAGATGTCAACTAAACTGTATGAGAGACGATGAGATGCAGAACTACTAGGGCACCAGTGCCTTGTCAGTCCCTTGTCACCTATGTCACAGGGTGAACAGAGAAGGGGGATAGATGGAGAATTGTTTCCTTGGTTGGGCAATTAGCTTTCAATTGGCCCTGTTAACTGTTTACCTTTTTTTAAGTGAACATATTTTAAGGGTACATAAAAGTGTAGACCATGTGAGAATTCCCACGCTACTCCTTTGTTTAAACTCTTTAAAAATTTATTTGCCAATTCTTCACAAATAAAACACAATCTAATTGTTCACTGTTATAATTTGAACTGTATTTCCTCGATTTCTATACATCTTATTTCTAGCTTCCTCTTCAATGAAATACAGATGCATTTAGCTTTCTATATCGGATTTTGATGTCTATTTTTTGTGTGCAAATATTTATCTAGTGGAAACACAAAATGTTTATACTTAATTTGCTTATACAACAAATGATTTTCATAAAATAAGTGTGAGGAAAGATTTTCATAAACTAAGATCCTGACAAAGATGACTTGTCATACTACATTACCAATATTAAGCAGATTATAGAAAAACAAAACAAAGATATTACTTGATTATGATAATATAATATGAACAAATAATAACCTAATTAACTGAAATAAAAATAAAGATTATTTTGCTATTCAGAGGCAGCATTCTCCTGCCTAGAACAACATTCCTCCAAATGTATTTTGGCTAAGAGATGTTACATAAAAAACAGGTTCTGGGATCAAATGATTTAGAAAAATCTTAATTAAGCCAAGTTAACTCTTTATTACCAAACTTCTCAGAACTCTGCTTATCATAAGATAAGCAAGATAAATGTTTGTCCAACCTATTTTCATAGGTCATCCTATATCCTATGGATATGTTTGGGATATTCTTGAAAGCAACAGAAAAAAAATACAGTTTTAGAAAGCAGCATATTATCATTTGAATAACATTGGAAATACATAATAAATATAATTTCCCAGGTAAGTTTCTAGGTAGCTAGAAAAACAGCATGAAAAATCAACTTTTGAAAGTTTCTGAAATAATTATTAACTTCATTAGATATCATTGTGTCACAGTAATTACGTTTTAAAATTGTTCCTGTCAAGATAGCAACAGACAAGCAAAATGAAACATAATATCTGAGATTAGCTTTAAAATAATCTGGCAATAAATAAATTTTTAATAAAGTGGATAAGATAAATAAGATTGAGACTTGTGTTAATAGTTATTTGAAGCACAGGATTCCATTATTCTAATTTCACTACTTTTATGAATGTTTAAGAATTTACAATTAAAAAACAGACAATCTTAGAATTTTGTCGAGCATTTCACATCTGCCTATCCTCTGGTCAGTCATCCCTGGATTCCAGAAAGCATTGCATGAATTAAGCGTGCAGCTACCCAGGTGAAATTTTTCTACAAAATCTTAAAAGATAATACTAAGTAAAAGGAATGTAATGAAGACAAGAAACCCAACAAAGAAGAGTACCTAGTCTTTTTTTACAACATTATTGGAAAATGCAGAAAATAAGCTTTGTTTTTAATAAACATAACCAAAATTATCTTGAGTATGAGCAAATCATTGTATCTAGCTCTAACGTAATTTAGAAAAGCCATTTTAATGAAGAATGCATTTGCATCTCACTTTAACTCATAAGGTTGTACAAAGGTCCATGAGGCAAGGCTGCATAATCAATTGCTATACTTTCTTTCTGTCCCTTACCAATAAATAGCCCAGCTCTAGCCCATCATCTTAATGTGGATTACTGTTCATAAGGGTGATTATGAATATTCATGCATGGCCAGATCAGTACCAGTGACTCAATTACCAAAGTAAATATCATACATTTACTCATTAACCTTTTGTAGACCTCAACTATTCCACATTCAGAGACTGTCATTCATTATACCACTAAGCAAATAAGAATTAAATGTAGATTTTTGCAAAGTGTTTCCATTGATATATATTTAAAATAGAAGCTTTAAAAATAACCAAAGCCTACAACAAGAAGTTGCGGAAGTCACAAAATCACAGATTTTCTATAAAAACTATCTGAGCTGAGATGCATAGAAAAACCTAAATAAATTAAATTCAAAATACAATGATCTCTTCACAAAACAGAGATGCATAGCTGCTTCATCTCTGATAAGAGGAGGAATAAACTTGCCAAAAAAATGGAACTATGAAGTTGAATTTTTAAGAAAAATTTTAAGAAACAGCTGAATTTTTAGGAAATTTTTATTAGTTGCTAATGTGAGGAATTAGAATTCTGAAGAGCCCTGATCAAAGAGTAACTCCATATTCACCTGCCAGTTCTTTCCTATGGAGCTTCCACCCAGTGCACAAGTACCATACACCAAAGGCTAGGAACAGAACAGAAGGGCTGGAAGATCCTCCTCAAGTACCCTGGGCCTTTGCAGAATGCAAGGCAGCGGTTCACTGAAGGCTCGGAGCAGGACAGAGTGAAGCAGTGAGCCTTCACCAAACGCAAAGCTAAGGACCAGCAGGATAAAAAGAGATCTTCCAAGACGTGGAAAGCCAGGAGTAGAGTTCAAGAGTAAGGTTAACTCCCCACCAACCCAAACATTTGGCAGCTGAATTATAAAAGCAAATGGAATATTTCAAAACTACTCAATTAGCCCAAGAAGGCAGAAAAGGAAAAAAGAGAAGGCAAAGGACAGATAGGATAATTAGAAAAACAGCAAAATGTATGAATTTGATCCTGTCGTCATGCTGCTATTTGGTTATTTTGCATACTGGTTGATGCAGTTTCTTCACAGTGTCATTGGTCTTTATATTTTGGTGTGTTTTTACAGTGGTTGGTGCTGGCTGGCTTTTCCTTCCATATTTAGTGTTGCTTTCAGGAGCTCTTGTAAGGCAGGCTTCGTGGTGACAAAATCCCTTAGCATTTGCCTGTCTGGAAAGGATTTTATTTCTCCTTCGCTTATAAAGTTTAGTTTGGCTGGATATGAAATTCTGGTTTGAAATTTTTTTTCTTCAAGAATGTTGAGTATTGGCCCCCAATCTCTTCTGGCTTTGTAGAGTTTCTCCTGAGAGGTCTGCCGTTAGTCTGAGGGGCTTCCCTTTGTAGGTGACCTGGCCTTTCTGGCTGCTCTTAACAGTTTTTCCTTCATTTCAACCTTGGAGAATCTGATGATTATGTGTCTTGGGGTTGATCTTCTTGTAGAGTATCTTAGTGGTATCCTCTGTATTTCCTGAATTTACATGTTGGCCTGTCTTGCTAAGTTAGGGAATTTCTCCTGGATAATATCCTGAAGTGGGTTTTCCAGTTTGTTTCCATTCTCCCCAATCTGGTACTCCAGTCAATCATAGGTTTGGTTTTTTTATGAAGTCCAATATTTCTTGGAGGCTTTGTTCATTCCTTTACATTCTTTTTTCTCCAGTCTTGTCTGCATGCCTTGTTTCAGCAAGGTGGTCTTCAAATTCTGATAACCTTTCTTCCACTTGGTCAATTTGGCTATTGTTACTTTTGTATGCTTTAAGAAGTTCTTCTGCTGTGTTTTCCAGCTCCATCAGGTTGTTTATGTTCCTCTCTAAAGTGGTTATTCTAGTTAGCAACCTTTATCTAACCTTTTATCAAGGTTCTTAGCTTCTTTGCATTGGGTTAGAACATGCTCCTTTTAGTTCAGTGTAGTTTTTTATTGCCCATCTTCTGAAGCATACATCTGTCAATTCATCCATCTGATCCTCTGTACAGTTCTACACCCTTGACGGTGCAATCATTTGGAGAAGAGGCACTCTGAGATTTTGGGTTTTCAGGATTTTTTCAATGATTCTTTCTCATCTTTGTGAGTTTGTCTAGTTTTGCTCTTTGAGGCTGCTGACCCTCGGGATGGGGTTTTTATGGGGGCTTTTTTGTTGTTGTTGATGCTGTTATTATAGCTTTTTGCTTGTTTGTTTTTCCTTCAATGGTCAGGTCCCTCTTCTGTAGGGCCGCTGCAGTTTGCTGGGAGTTAACTTCAGGCCCTATTCATCTGATTTGCTCCAGCACCTGGAGATGTCACTCAAGGAGGCTGGAGAACAGCAAAGATGGGTGCCTCCTTATTCTGTGGCCTCTGACTTCAAGGAGCACCCCCCTGATGCCAGTAGGATCATTCCTATATAGGGTGTCTGACAAACCCTATTGAAGGGTCTCACCCAGTTGGGTGGCACAGGTAATAGGACCTATTTAATGAAGCACGTTGTCTCTTGGTGGAGAGGGTGTGCCTCTTAGAGACCTACAGAGAGACTTAGCCTCCCATGAAATAATAGTGAAAGACTTTAACACCCCACTTTAACACCCCACTGTCAATATCAGACAGATCAACAAGACAGAAAATTAACAAGGATATTCAGGATTTGAACTCAGTTCTGGATCAAGTGGACCTAGTAGATGTCTACAGACTCTACTCTAAATCAACAGAATATACATCCTTCTTAGTGCCACATGGCACTTATTCTAAAATTGACCACATATTTGGAAGTAAAACACTCCTCAGAAAATGCAAAAGAACTGAAATCATAACAAACGGTCTCTCAAAACACAGTGCAATCAAATTAGAACACAGGATTAAGAAACTCACTCAAAAAACCCACACAATTACATAGAAAGTGAACAATCTGCTCCTGAAGGACTCCTGGGTAAACAATGAAATTACGACAGAAATGAAGAAGTTCTTTGAAACCAACGAGAACAAAGAGACAATGTACCAGAATCTCTGGGACGCAGCTAAAGCAGTGTTAAGAGGGAAGTTTATAGCACCAAATGTCCACATCAGAAAGCTTGAAAGATCTCAAATCAACACCCTAACATCACAATTAA